GCCACATATTCTCCCTCGCTCGGAAAATTCGCTCGCTCGCGTCTGCATAGTCGCATCTTTACCACGCCCAAAGAGACGTTCGAGAACTGGGGGCTCGACCGTGTCTCTTCCCAATTGATTAGTTCGGTGTCGGCAGCGAGAGCGAGAGGCAGCGGGTGACGACCTTCCCCAAGTGCGTGTGGCGTGGCACTCTCCCGGAGTTGAGACGCTACACTCTAAGTCTATTGCACTTGGCCAAGGTCTTCGGGGATCGGCAGGCCGCAGACCTTGTTGTGGAGGATATAGGAAGTGACAACTCGGACGAGTTGTCACTTCCTATATCCTCCGAGTTGTCACTTCCTAAAACAGGAAGTCACAACTCGGACGAGTTGTCACTTCCTGTTTTGTCGAGTTCTGCCTCTTGGTCCGCAATGGGGACGCACTGTCTTGCGGAAGTCGGACTGCTGCGATTCTCTTGGCCTAAACGGCGGTTCTCTTTGATTTTCCCCAACTCGTCCTTCTTCACCTGGATGCGACATTCTTACCGGATTAGAGAGCTAATTCAGTTTTATGGCTTAATTTTAATGCTTATAAGAAAAAATTGCATGGAAACAAATATATTTTATTCAAAATGTTACTCAGAATTACAAAAGCTCAAATTTATGCCAATTAAAACTTTTTATAACGATTTTAATAAACGGCGTTCAGTAACGTGATGATAATTTAAAATATGTTTTGATATAAACATAGATGACGTCATCGTTTCGTTACATTATTGTTTCTAACATGAAAGTTCACGGCAATTTCTTCTACAGCGATTTTGCTAAATTGTATGATTACAGGCCTACAGTAACATAAATGGACTATCTATATTCATACTGTCCTTATCCCAAACAGTTTGTAGATATCTTTTTTGTTTTTTTAATGTTTCAGCCGAGACAGTTCTATCACACGGTTTGGTAGTCAACCACGACAATGCTTTCTGTTCCATCTATAAGGAAATAGTTTGATGTAGTAAGCACAGAATTCTAAAGATTGCAGAGGCGTGCCGTGACATTTGATGATAGGGAAGCTGTGTTTCAATAAGAAAGCGACTTCCAGGGCAATCAGTTAATTCTTTCTTTAAATGTACTTTTAATAGATTATTTATCTGACGTACTTAATAAATAAACAAGTTCAATATAATTACCTCTGTTATTAGATCGAATATATTCCATATGCCCTCTAAATGCCAATTCTTGCTTTGATAAAAACATATAACATCTATTTATTTAGATATAATATATCTATTAACCGTAACTATCTCGTTATAATTTTCAATATTTATTTTATATTATTTACTACTGTTAAATTCTATTCCGCTTCGATTTCCAAATTGCTTTAAATACGAAAGAATCGATGATTTTTCGTGTCTTTTGCCAGCTAAATTGTCAATGCCATTCTTATTCCACACACTAATTTCATTTGAAAATAGTAGGCAAGCCAACAAAACAATTTTTGCATTTTTATGCATTTACAGAGCCATTTTATCGTGAAAATGTCGAACAAATTTTTTTATTGAAGTGTTTATATTTAACTTAGGCATTGGCCTTTCTCTTTTAATAATGTTTTCTTTTTCATTATATGATCTCGAGCCAAAACTTTTTTAAAATAAATTTTCAATATCGCAATTACATTCCGAATCGCTAGCCACGATATAAGGGCTAAAATTAAAAATAAAATTATAAAAACTTACTTGGTGAAATAAAATGTGTGGTGGATATACATACCTGGTACAAAACATTCTTCAATTGTATGAATATACTTTTAAAGAAAATTATAATTAAATATAGCTTTGTAATGAAACGTACATAAAAATAACATAAAATATTCTTTACTCTTTAAATCTTAACCACTTAGTCAAATAGCTCCCTACGAGTGGAATCAGAGACGGTCCTGCTAGGTGTGCGGTGTGTACTGTACATGCACGCGGGCTGCCAAATCCCGAGGGTGCCGATACCCTCGGGATTTGGCAATGTCAAATGTTTCTTTTGTCGCATCACTAATATACCTCAAAAGACGCGACAGGGTTCTTGTAAATTTTAAACGTTTCTCACCATAGCTGTAAAAGTCTAAATATGTTAAACTTAATAGATTGTCCGTCGTTTGTTTTCTAACTAATTCGTTTTAGGACCAGGTGTTGTCCACGGAAATTTCCAAAATTTACAACTTTTCGGTCACTCTCGTTGAACTGGAAAAATGTCTGTCTTTATTACATCTAATATTTCGAAGAAATCAGTCCAACTGTTCTCGGCTAGAGATTGGTTCGGTTAACCTTTTGTTTAAGTAAAATTTCGGCTCTCATCAGGGTTTTGTTTATGTCCCCAATTCCCCAATCGCTTAATTATTTAACTACTTCTTAAGTAGAAATAAGTCGAAACCAGTTACTTTGTACTCGAATATTTGTAGTCTCGGGAAAAAGTGGAAAGACAAATTTTTATGACAACGGATACATAAATCGTAAATGTAAGGAAAATAAATTCTAGAGCTTTTTCTGTACCTGGTGCATCTCTCACATTAAATTTAGTTGTAAATTATGCTACCAAAGTAACGGTTAATTTTTTAACATTACACGTTTTTTCTACATCCCCTTAGAGATGGGATATACGAAATCGTAATATCACTGGTTTAACATTGAAATCCGTGAGTAATATAAAACCGGAGAGCGGAATAAAAATATCAAATATTTTAATGGATTTTTTAAAACTCCTGTCAACTATACAGAACTATCGTAAAAACATACGAGTAAATTCTTATCGGTTGGGTTAAGTTATAAATCTACTCGTAATCGGGCGAGGGCGGTCAAATATCTAGCAGCAATTCTATACAGGACCGGAACCGGTTCTGGATAGAATTGGATGCGGTATACGTGTAGCAGCCACCCAAGGTCCTGGACTTCCACCGGCTAAACCGGGTGAAGTTGGTGCTCTGTAAAGCGCATGCGCGAATCTGGTTGTTTGGATGCTAACAATACAGCGTTTCCACTCCGCCACTAATATTCGAATATACAATAGCAATCTTATTTTTTTTCACGTGTAGTATAGAAATTTGTAATAAGATATATAATGCGGTTATAATAAAATATTGTGCGATTATTTTCATATAATTAAAATTAATATGTATTTATTTTTTAGAAAATACAAGGGAAGCGGCGCATCCACCGCTTCTAATGACGGCACGCAACTGAAGGATTGAGAAAATTGTAGGGTTTTAGAAGAATCCTACAATTCCCTCATTCCTTAGAAATGAAAAAGACATCATTGAAAGAAAATAGAGCCTCAGCGGAAACAACTTGAAAGGTTAGAAATCTACAAAGCCTTCGGGAAAAGGACGGTAGTTAACTTCATGGAGACAGACTATTTTGTCACGCTAGAGAGCGTTTAAAAAGTTATAGGTAAAGGTGTCTTCCTTCAATAGTGAGACTAGTAATATTTATCACGTCTTTCTTAATTATACACATTTAACAGAGACCGAGAATAAAACAGTTCTCTTTATTTCGCCTATTTAACAATGCATTTTGAATTGATAATTTTCCAATACCTCTTCGGGCTGACGGCTTTAGTGTCTAAAGTTGTTGTCTACAACATAACGAACAAAAGATTCGTATTAATATATTTTTCTTATCCAGAATGATGGATATAGTACACAATTTGTACACATTTTAATGGTGTAGTTTCTACATATCATTCTCTTGCGCGTACTAGCATGTTTTCTTTGTCTATTTTGGATGGGCAAATGCAAGGGTTCTTACATTTCCCACAATTATTAACTCCTTATTACCTCTTAGAAGAATTTTAACTTTAATATTGTAATTCATTTCACGAAAAAAATCAAAATGTAGTTTTTCATTGTAAATATTTTCACAAGTAGACCCCAAATTTTTCACAAACTATAACTACGAACAATTATTTATTGTGACGTCACAATGCCGAGCTGCAATTTTTAATCATATTTTTACTTTATTTAATTAAAAATATATGCTCTCCACCTCAAATTAGTAGTGGCTTACCCTGTACTGTGCAGTACATCAGACTTTTCCTTTAACAACAGAGTCGTTCCGGTCATCTATTAACTCAAGCCACCGAGCTAAATTTCGTTTATTAATCTTTATTCCATCTCGAGATACTAGCGAAATTGACGCCAACACACACACACACACACACACACGGAATTTTTTGACTTTTTTAAATTCAGGAAGTCTCAAAACGTAGAGATTTTCAAAGGATTCGGAGGCTGAAATTTGACACGATTCCAAGTCTAAAATGCCAATCCGCCTGAAGAAAACAGCATTTGATCAATGCGTACTACCAGTCATGACATACGGATGTGAAACTTGGACATAAAGAAATAAATAACAGTGAAACTCCAAGTTGCCGAAAGGTCAATGAAGCGATACATGCTAGGAATAACCAAGAAAGATCACAAAAGAATAGAGTGGATTAGGCAAAGAGATAATTGATGTGATCCACAGAATTAAATCTCTCAAATGGCAATGGGCAAGACATCTGGCAAGGAGGACTGACAACAGATGATCCACGAGAATCACAATGTGGTATCCACGGGAAATCAAGAGACCCAAAGGACGTCCATACTTAGGATGGACTGTGACATAAGGAAACAAGCAGGCACAACATGATGGAGAGAAACAAACGATAGGCAAACATGGGCACAAATGATGGACGATTATGTAAGGAAGGCTACACCATAATTTGAAATGGTAGAATAAGCTGAGGCTGATGATGATGATTCAGATTTATAAATATGAACTTTTTTTGATTCAAATCAAGAATCCGAAATGAATATATTTTCGTAATTGCTTTTATAAGCGTATCATCATATATTTATTGATTATTTTTACGTTAAATATCACAATTTCTTTCGCATTATATATTTTTAAGCAGAAAATTTAAAAAATTCATTTGATATTTCGCTAAATAAAGCGAAATTAATTATAATTTAATTATGACGTAATCCGGGTCATGCGTAGTACTATTATCTTATTTAGTATCCGCCATCTTGAGTTTCAGAAGTGTCTATTTGGTCTCTACCGGTATGTGATGTGACGAGTTATATTTTAGTGTCATCGCACGACCGAAATAATCGGTAAACTCTACAGAGCGTCTATATCAATCACCATGACCATATTACCCAAGAAAAAGACGACACAGTCGAAAAATGAAGGTGAAAACACAGATCCCAATCATTCTTATCATGGCGACCGTCATGGACATCAACCTCATCCACCAGAAAGTCGCGAGAGGTTCAATTTCTCGCCTCAAACATGGCCACCGGCCACACCGAGAGGCGAAAAGCGACCTTCACACGCGACATCAACAAATTTTTACGATTACGAGACGACAGACAGCGGACCCAGTCACTCAAAACGTCGTCGTAGAGCTTCTCCTCACAGAAGTATTCGAAAAAATCATCCCCATGTCCATTCTAATCATGTTGTGCATAGAACGAATAATCAGACCAATTTTACAAATCCCAGCACTTCGCAGAGTGGACATAGTCCCTCTCAAGATAGGCCAAATAGTGCAATGCAAGTCAAAACAACTGAAGATGATGGTGTCAATGGAGGCCCTTCTGGGTATAATAGTGGTGACGAATATGATCGTCCAATTGAAATGTGGACAGAAGAAGAATTGGATGAGGTAAGAATGACATCACATTTCAAAATTGATTTGTAAACAAACATGTTAAGCACTCTCTTTTTATTTATATTTATATATATAATAAGTAACATTTTGGTTGAAGCTACTTTTAATTACTTTGTGTATGTATATAAATAAGTAAGTTTTACCCATATTTTTTGCCTCGTAACATGCACTATTTTGACCTGTAAGCTGAATGCATTGTATATTTTTTCTCCCAAAAATTTCATGCATCCAATACGGCGGTATGTCTTGTGAGGCGAAAAATACAATAAATTAAGTTTTTCACTGTCAGCTTCAGTATGTAAAAAAATATTATTTTCTAACTTGTACATTATAAATGTAAAATGCTTGATTTATACCAATTAGAATAATTTAGATAAATTATTTGATTATGTTATTGAATTGGAATTTAGTTGGACCATTTCCCAAATATTGTTACATAAATGGAAAGTTAATTTAAGGTAAGTAAGAGGGGAAAAAAAGAAAATAAACTATTTAATTGATGGATTTTGCTGATTAAAAATTCTGAATACTTCTATTTTGAAATTACATATTTTTTTTAATAATTTGTATATGAGAAATGGTTACTAAGGTAAATTATTTATAAACTGTTTATTTTATCAGGTTGCAAGTGAAAAGTTTATTTAAAACTCATTCTGAATAAAATCTATTAAATTAGAAAATGTTTTTAGCATTAAACTGCCCAAAAATGACATTTTGATGACAAAAATTAATACCATTTTAATAGATCTTTATTTTTTCAAGGCAATTATCTATAAAATTGTCATGCACTTATGTTAAAAGAAAATAATAATAGTAATTTTGAAGTTTTCATTTACTATTAATTTAAAAGAACATTAATAAATTGAAACTTTTGGTTATTTCAAATGAAAATATAATTTGCTAAATCAGCTAATTAGGCTTTTAATTAAAATTTCTAATTGTACATGAATTGAATTTATAATAAACAGAATGCTTGTGAATACACTATTCATGAATACACTATTCAAATGAATAGTGTATTCATTTGAAGTTAGTGTTACATAATTAAACTTTACGTCCATTAGTAGCCTAAATGCGAATGATGCTCAATTTATGCAAATTTGATTTATGTATTTTTACACCATTGCAGTTTATGCTGAACAATACATGTGCACATTAGTTTCTATATTTTTTATCTCATTTTTATTGACATAGTAAAACTAAAATTATGTTAATTTGCTTGAAAATGTATGTGTACAAATACATATATTTATAGAGAAAGCTTGATTAATGTAATTATGCCTGTTTTCCATGAAGTAAAGTAATGAATGCATTTTTAACTTTGTAAATTTTCAGTTCATAATGTGATTGTATAATTTGAATTTTTAATTAAGAGTATTTAATAAATTTAATCAATTTTTATTTTGTAAAATTATTAATTGTTAAATTTTACACAGAATTGCTAAATTTGTAAAATATGTAATGATTTTTTTTCTTTTATATATTTGAAAATTTTAAACAGATTATTTAGTATGAATTATATAACACTATGGTTGCTATGATTCACATCTTATGTTTGAAATTCAGCTTGAAATATGTTTTTAATTATAATGTTCCAATTTCTTGAGGACCCAACAGTGGCCAAATGGATAAAATCATTAAATAGTTGTTGGCAGTAGGTACTGGGCTTGCTGTGTTGGAGTTTTCTGGGTTTTCTTTAGATGTTTAATACCTAAATAGGGACCAGTTTCTCAAACTTTTCCAGAAGGCAGCTTTCTTGGCTGATTGCCCATGAGTTGTGCTACTTTACCCCGTTAATCCAGTTCAATCTCGTAAGATTTCTATAACTCAAAAATGAAATGTGATGCATATAATTGACTACAAAATCTAAATTTTTAAGTTAAGAACAATAAAATTTGATGATAATTTAGTCATAAAAACTAAAAGATTTTAACTATAAAATTTTTCAGGATACTTAATTGTTTTTATATATGCAAATTACATTCTCAAGAACTAATTATAATAAAGTCCCAGAAAGTCTACTCTCAATAACTCAACATTCCATAAAAAGTTTTTTTTGCTCAAAACAAAAAAGTAACTAATTTTTAACTATTACTTAAATACTAGGATCAAATAAGTTATTATTCTTTACTGGTGACACTTGATAGTAGCATTAAACAAAGAATAATACACTTTGTTGGATCTAAGTGGAAAAGATCCATATACATACAAAAGAGCCTAGGAGTATAAGCCATTTCCCTTTGTAACAACAGATCCAATAAAGATTTAATTTACATCAACTTGACTCCAGTGATCATTATCCAAATGTTTGAAGGAGTGCAAGTATGATATTGAGCATGGGAAAACCACCACTTGCCTCTCCATCTGTACTTCAGAGGCCAAAATTGACCCATTATTTCAACAAGCCTTATGTTAAAAATGACTACATATCAGAGAGCTTGAAGTCCTTGAAATTTTCAAGTCATATAGAGGAGGCAATTGCATTAATAAAGATGAAAGGATAACCTCTAAAGCATGGCAAGCCTGCTTTGATAATGCCTTGTAAGGTAGTTATCCAATTACTTCACTTTGCATGATAGAATCAGTTTAAATTTGTATTCTAATCAAATTAAATTTCCTGTATTACGATTTGCTTTCATGAAACATTCCATTTCATTCTGATATTCCTAAAAAGACTTCAGGAACATCAGAACAAGGCTGAAAACATTCAAAAAGTAATACTTGGTTCCTGCTGGACTTCTCTCAGGTTTGTGGATCCTATAATTTTATATTGTGTTTACAACTACTGGCATTTAATTCTTATCTCACAGAATACATTTTACTGTTTATAAAAAATTCAACAACAATAATTGTAAGTGGTGATAAACATATTTATATCTTTTTTCAACAATGTTAAGTGATTACTTACTGTATCTCTTTGGATTTGGCTTAGACATGGCCATTATTCTGGTTGTGGCACCTATGTATGATGTATATGACTTACTGGTATTAATAAGCAGAAGGATTTTATAAATCTAATTTTTCCTTTAGAGCTAAGATTTCTCTCATTTGTTAATATTATTGTTAGATTGTGTTTTGGCCCTATGTCGAACCTAATCTTTTCTAAATAATTTTGCTAACTTTGGGGATATAGGTCTGAAGTATGGAATGGAGAATCCAATGAATATTAACTGTATACAGTAGTACCTTAGGATATTCGAATGCTCCAGCATACGAAATTTTCAGGATATGACATGAAATTTGAACATAATTTTGCTTTACGGTACAAACAAAAACTCACCATACGACATTACATTAGTTCGCAGCACCATTTTTTATTCACTTCTGTTCATCAATCTCAGTCTGCATGTTTGCTTTGTCGTGGAAGGATCTCGCTCGATAAAGGAAATCTTGAGATATTATCAGAAAGTGACTGATTTTATTGAAAAGAAACATTCCGAAAAGGTTTACACTGGCCATATTGCTGCTCAGAGTAATGACATTTGCNTAATTAAAACTTGTTATCGAAGAGTCATCAGAAACTTTGAATGCCAACTAGTAACTTATATTTTGCTTTTACTGTTAATCTTTACTATTAATTAATTTAAAAGTAATATTAACTTTTAATTTTTTTACTATTAATTTTGTATGTTAAAAGTATAAATTCACGTTGGCTCTTGCAAGATTTTTAAGGTTTTTATAATAATTAATACTTGGAAGAAATGAAGAAATATATTATTTAATATTAATTTTATTAATACTTAATGCATTATTATTATATTTTACAAATTTTAAAATGTTACACAACAGATTAAGAAGGATTGTTATATATTGTATGTTCGAATCAACAAGAGAGCAATAACATGTTTGGCCCTATTCCCGGAGTCTTCTGTGATAGAGACATATTTGAATGAGTTCAATATGACACATTTGACGTTATGTATGGACGACAGTATGGACATATTTAAGAGTTAATATTGATACACATAATGATGCCAGTATGCTTAAATTTGTCTACTTGGTATATAGCGCGTAATGAAGTATGCCAACGATACAAATCTAATCCCTTCAGGGGTGGATCAGAAGAGAAAGTGACTCTTTGATGAATCGAATTTGTGAAATGCAACAATACCGCTATATTGATTGTTGTTGATTTGATATAACTTTTTGGTTATTAATAAACAGCGTGACTGGTTATGAATAAACGGTGTGACTGTTACTATAAATAAGTGGATTCGAATCTGATTTCATCACCCAAGTTTTTATGGATGTCTGACCTGGGCTATGTCAGATCCGTTTATCATTATTCTCTCACCCTCCTGTGAATATCCGTGATTGTCATGGATAAAAACTTTTTAATAATCAAAATATAATGAATAATAATAAATATTAACTTGATAAATCAGTATATATGAATCCAGTTTAAGCACATTTAATACACGAAACGTACAACCCCAATGACGACCGAGGAATCTTTCCGAAAAGCAAAATTAATATTGGGTGAAATAAATCGAAAGCTTAAGAATTTGATTTATTTCATCCGATGGTCGAAAATGGACGAAAAAGTTTTTTATCAACTTATTTAAACGAATTTCATGCAATTTTCGGAGAAGACTCAAGACATAGAATTTAAGATCGTCTTTTACCTCTCCACGATGGATATTCCGTACGATGTAAATGCTGAAGATAATTTATTTATTAAATTCAATTCCGAACACAAGAAAATGATTGAAGAAAAATTATGAATTAATTAAATAAAAAATTAATAAAATTAATTTTTTTTGTTTTAATTTTTACGAAATTCAAACATTGTTCACGCGTCTTTTAACGATTGTTCGAAATTTGTCACACACGACGATTTGCAGGGAGTTGGCGTCAGATTTGCTTTTCTTGCGCTCTTAAGTTGTATGCTGTTTTTGCCGTTTGCGGAGTTTTCCAAAGAAAACCAAAAATTTTTGAGATAAGTCTTAGTCCATATTCACCCTAGACGTAAAAATTTATTTAATATTCCCGGA